CCCGCCTTTTCTCGTAACACATAAATAAGGTGAGGGTGCAGTGAAATAACAAAGGAGAAAACAAAATATTCTATTTACTGACCTCAACTGCTATCGTGATCGTGATTTGAGATGATCAGACGGCTAATATGATAATTCCAGACGTTTCTCATGAGCAACCGTCCTAAGCAAGACACAGGTGATGTCCTCAACCGGTCTTTTTCCCGCCTTTCTCGGAACACATAAATAAGGTGAGAGTGCAGCGTGTTGGGCGAGCCAACAAACGAGATATCCGACTTCTTCGGCAGAGGAGGGTAAAGGGAGAACGACGCCATATCGCAGGTCCCTTGATCTCTCGCCCTCTCATTCGTTTGATCTGTGAATTTCCTTTCTTGCGATCGTTGGATCCATGAATTTGTTTCTCTGTCGGCGATCTTTGGTGGAGTACCGATCTTCTCTCTCTGTTGTTTTTACCAGGATCCCAGGTCCTTCGATCTCTCTCCTTCTAATTGGCTAGATCATGATGTAATGATCTCCTCTTCCAGTCGTCTTCACCAGGACTGGAGCGGAAAGAGAGAATGACGCCAAGATCCTAAGGTCCTTTGATCTCTCTCCCTCTCATCGGTGAGATCTAAGTATTTCCTGTGGTGGGATCATCGGATCCGTATTATTTCTCTTTTGGCGATCTTTGATAGAACACGATCTTCTTCCTCTGTTGTCTTACCAGGACAGGAGCATAAAGATAGGAGGTGGCACCACAAAGATCAAGGTCCTTTATCGCTCTCCCTCTCTAGTTAGATCTCTCGTTGTGGAACCCTACTTTCACAAGATCGTGATAACCCTAGGTTTCGTTCTCGAAATATCATAGAGGAAAATTCATGTTATGTTTTCCATCGGATGGACTTTTCCTTTTCTTTCTTCTCATTTATGATCTCGTATATAAATATAATAATTGGGGTTTGATTCTTCTTTTATATTCACTTAGCTATTGCATGATGTCCTAGATTTGTTTCGTTAGCTATCCGATGTTATATAAATGTTCTGACTCCGGAATTGGGTACAGTTTGTGGTGCTCTGTGTTAGGGATTATCGATTAACATGGATAATATGCTTAAATATTGCCCTAGATCCAATTTTATTCATGGATTCCCTGCTGTTTATTGTGACTTCAATATGAAGTAAATGTCCATACTGAGAGCACTTATTCTACTTCAAAAATTATCAGAAAGTCTGACTGTTTGTATGGTCAGGCAATACAGTTATATGACCCAAATTGCTTTCTCCGTTTACATCTCATAATGTTGATTGTTGGCCTACAGACTATAGTACGTCTGGGTCATATCTCGATCCTTAATATTGCAATGTATCATCTAGTCTCTGCTACCACATTGTGAATTGATTATTTCTGCATTCTTTTTTCTTTTTTTTTTCCAAACTATTTCTGCATACTCATATGATCACATTTGCTTATGGAAACTTCTTGCTTATCTCTCCACACAGATGGTCTTGTAGGAGTTGTTTCTTGAAGTTTCCTTCACATTATTACAAATGCATGTTAAATTGGGAGTTTATTATTTCTTTTCTGCGGAATAGCTTTTGATGATCAAATTCCATTATTTAACAAACTTGGTATTATTTTAGCAATGTATTTAAGCAATTCAGAATAACAAGTAACAGTTCAAGGTCCATTTAAACTTCATTAGGAGAAGAAATTGTTTCTAATCCTCTTCAGTGTAGGGTATAACTTTAGGAGTTTATAAGCTTTGCTACTAGCCAAAAGTCAGTTTGAACTGCAGCCAAGAGTTTCAGGAGCTCAAGTTTGGGCTTCTATCAATAGTAGGTTATAGTATACATTGCATAACCTCATATAGGAAATTGTAGCTAAAGCTAGATATGTTTTCTTGTGTGTTATGTTATGAATTATTAATTATATGGCCTGAATGATTCAAGAATGCAGCAGATATTCTAATAATTTCTTTTGGTAAATAATATCAGGTTTAGTTCATGTATTGTCATATTATTATACTATCTATTTTCATTTTAAATGTTGATTAGTATTTCTTTGAATATCTAAAGAATTTTGTAAGTGACAATGCTGGACTGATGCATGTGCTATCATGAAGCAAATAGATAGCAAATAAATGGTTATACAATCTAAAGTTATCTGCAAAAGCAGCATATTTGGTTCATAATTCATCATTGATCAACAACATATAAAAGTCGATAAACAATCTCTATTCCTATAGCTTTTATCTCTTCGATTGACTTCATTGGTTGACTTCCATTTTGTAGTTTCAATCTCACTACAGTCTGACCTGTTCAAGCAAAGAAATGGCAGAACAAGAGAGAGGTGCTCCTACTTCTGCTCCAAAAATGAAAAGTCCATCAATAGGTAGGTTTCTACTGATGCATGCTTGTATCTTCATTTTAGGCATTTTCTTGAAGTATATACTTTCTAGTTACAAAGTTTATTCACTGTGGACCTTCTTACGAATGAATTGACTGTGATCTGACAAATGGTGGAAATATTATTCAGAAAGTTATGCAGAAAACAAGGCTGTAATTTTACTGTTATTGGTCTATATTTCCTTGAATCTCTACCAATGGTGAATCAAGTTTTTGGCCTTTTAACTTGTCCACGTCTTGCTTTACTGCAGAAGAAGATTTTGAAAAGGATTTCCTCATCTCATGGAAATCATCAAAACCAGGAAAACAGGCGATGGATCTTGATGTGGAAACAGTCCCCCAAAATAGAAAAAGTTCCTTTAACTTTGACAAACTGTTAGGATATATTTTGCATAACTTTTTCACTTGTTCCTACATAATGTAATTCTCCACACAGCATTTGATAAAGTAGTGAACTTAATGCTAACTTTTTCCAGTGATGACTTTGATCTTGGTGGTGACTTTGGAAAGTTGTCATCTTTTGGAATGGATATCTCCGATCTGGACTTCTCTATTCCACTCAAGAAGACTGCAAATGCCAATGAACAAGAATCTCTCCCCAGAAAGCAAGACCTGAAGAAAGAGAAATTCTCCTTTGCATTTGATTTTAATGTGTATGTGTACAGGATGCCCGTATAATTTAAATTTGTTTTATAATCCATCTTTTGTATTTCATTTGTGAAATCCTTTGGTCAGGTACCTCTCTGATCATGTTACATATTTGATGCATCTGGGTCTTATTGTTTCTCATCATGATTTATTTTGACCAAGACAATTGGGATCTATAGCTTTTTCTATTGCCAAGTTGTTGTTTTTGTGGCTGTAGGTTGGATAAGTTTGATCTTGATACAAAATTGGTGAAAACTGCAACGGGTTCCAGTAAATGCATGGATGATGGCGGGCCTCATTGTTCTGATGAAATGCGTAAGCATGGTAAGCATTTTGATTTAAGAAACCATTTGGCTGTGAGTAACCACTCACTTGAAAGTCATGGGAATCAAATATTATCAAATACAGAAAGTTTATCCACTTCAACATCTGCTCATATGTTGGAGCCTGATGGACCATATCATGCTGTCATTAGACATGGTTCAGCACAAGAAGCACTTTGTCAAGGTCATAAAGAACTGCTCTGTCTGGATTCTGTAAAGAATGACACCTCCAAAGAAAAAGATAGTGGTGTGAGATTGCTTGATGGTTTACAATCTGGTAACTCTAGTCCTGTAAAGTTGTCCAACTCGAGGTGCTGCCCACCAAATAATATCACAGGATCACAAGATTGCAGTAGCACACTTCAGAATCATGAGGTTGATGAACATGTTATAACTGAAGGAAGTAAACCCACAGATCATTCAATTCAAGTTGACAATGAAGCTTCACGAAATTCTGTCAAGGAGGTCACGAATAAACATTTTGATGCTTCTTGGTAAGGATGTTAGTTGACATCTATATTCTTTTAAATATTGATTTCCCTTTCTTTGATTGGCCTCTATGAATTTCTTGATGTAATTGACTTGTCAAGAGTAACAGCTGCTATTGTGCTAAATTAACATATCACCATTTACAAAATGATTGTAAGCTTGATTGTTGGACAAAGTTATAGTTAGGAAGTTATTGGCATTTATGTTCGGTATCCTTTGTCACTTATTTCACTGTGTCAAAAGCTTTTGTTGGAATTAGGATTTTGCATTTTGTACATCTGGCAGTTGGTGAGAAACTTACAGAAGAGGCAAATAGTACATGATTCCTGGTGATTATGAATATTTTGCATCAATCTTAATTCTTAATTTATTTGAGATTTTTTTTTCTAAATTGCTTGTCTATTCTATAACCTTAAACATATCCTTGTTTTCCTTCTACCTGGTGTAATTGTATCATCAGTGAGTTGTTTATATACATATTATACTAATTTGTAACTCCAATGAGTTCGGTTTTTTGAATTTTTGCTAGCTAAGTAGATGGTTTTTTGGCATGTTAATCATACCTCTTTTTCTTTTTCAGTTTTCAATTTCCCATTTCTAAGATTCCTGGTGGGGCTACTTCAATCATTAATGCAAAGAGTACCATGCCTAATCTTCTTTCAGCTGCATCTGTGAATAGGCCTGAGAACAGTTTTCTTGAAGTCCAGAACATATCGCAAAAGGATGATAAAAATCATCTACCTAACTCGATGACTTCAAGGTGGAATATCAGAATCCTTGCTTATGACTACTCTAGTATGTTTATTTGCAAGTTGTACAAAGTAATAACTGAACTAATCTATTCTAGGATTAAGGAAAACAGCAATATAGCAAACTCTTCATCTAATGGAGTCATAAATACAATTATAGTTTCGGAGAGAAACTTGACATTGAAGAGGAAGACTTCCAAGGTCCTTTCTTTGGCTTATTTTCAGATCCATGAATGGCAGATGAAACTTTTCTTCTCGACATCTGTTTTAATGACTGGATGTACTTGACAGTGTGAATCTAATGTATAGGCTGTCATGGCATAACTATACATCTAAAAAAAATCCCAATTTAAATTGATGTTAGTTTCTTGTCCTACTTTTATGAGTATAACCAGCATTTAGTATTGAAAAACTAGGAAAGGATTTCATAATCGGAAGGTCATGCTAGGCAGAAGCTTTAACAAATACATGAAATGACAAACAACTCTATAAATCAGATCAAATTATCAAAACATTGAGCAATAACTTGTAGGACCATGTCTGATATTTTGCATACTGAATATAAACTTTTTTTTTAAGACAAGATGATACAGTGCTCCAGTGAAACATATGGTTTGTAGGTTGTTTCTGTTAAACAACTTAATACACATAAAAAACCCAACGTTTTAAATGTCCCAATCTATTTGATTCATGAATTTCACTTAAATAATTACCTATTCTTTTTGTCAACTTGTGATATTATATTATTTCTATACTCGTTGCTTTAAATGCAAAGTTGCAGGTGCAACACTTCATTAGCAATATCTGCTGTTTCAAATATCCTAACTTCATATTTAGCTTGCTCTCTATGTTGCATATACAGCCTTTTATTAAAAGGTTAGAACAACTATGCTACATTTTTGAATTGGTGTTGATGATGGCATTTGATGCTTTTCAAGCAAGGCAGTAAGCTTACTTAGTGTTACAAAGCACCTGAAATATATGCCATGTTAAGTTTTAGCTTTCCTTTTAGTGTCATGTAACCTTGTTGAAGCAGGCTAGTTTGTTATATCATATTCTTCTTCGCTATTGTATGCAATTTATATCTTTCTGAAGTAGAATTATACTCTTGAAAGAAGCAAACACTGAGTTTCAGGCTTTTTGTTTTGTTTCTGTAATTTAAAATTTAAAATATAACCTCTATCATTTATATTCTTTCAGGAATCGTTGACAGATCCAAAGGCCTTCAGTACATTAAAACACATCAATTCTTCACCCAAGGGAAGGTTCACGGACAACACCAAACCTCATTTTGTTTCTTGTGTCTCTCTTTGTTTATCTAATTATGATAAATTAGCAGCAAAAGTTAATAGTTAGTTAACAGGATGGGATTCATATAGAGAAAGAGGCTCCATAAAGGATGATTAAGTAAAAAAACAAATATCTTGTCAACTAATTTTAAATTGATCCGAGGGAATAACACTGCTTGTTATTCTGAATGATCAATATGTTCCATAAATTGGTTGGTTTATTGCTTACATTAGGCTTTTTTTCCCCGTTCTTCTGCATACATGTATACAGGACATTGTTTACAGAGATGTTGTTTGTACATATATTATATTTATAACTTCACTATATTGTTCAGTAAGGTATGCAATTTCGTACCGTACCGGAGTTTCGACGTTCACTCGGTACAGTACGAAACTGTATACCAAGCGGTATACTGTTCGGAATACTATATATATATTTATTTTTATTTTATTTTTTTTTCGTTTCGCTCGGTATCAGACAGTCCGTGTATTAGTAAGCTGATGGACTGGTACGTACCGCTTAGTTTAATCATTATTGTTCAATCATGACGGACTTACCGTACTGCTTAGTAAGCTGACGGACTGGACAGTCCGTGTATACGGGTGGTATTATTCGAAATTACATACCTTGTTGTTCAATCATTATTGTGGTTTTTTGTACATCAGATTATGATAACTTGTTTTGTTCCTGGGGCTGCAAACCTGTTCTTTTAGTTTCTAACTCTCAATTTTCATGTTCGCTGGCAGGGTTACTTCAACCGGTTCTGCAAAGATTATCATGCCCAATTTTCTTTCAACCGCATCTATGAGTAGCCCAAAGAACATTCCTTTTGAGGGCCAACATATATTTCAGAAGGATGGTAAAAAACATCTACCTGGCTTGATGACTTCAAGGTGGAGTATCAGGATCCCTTTCATATGACTAATCTAGTTAGTCTCTTTACATGTTTAGAAGTCACTTATCAACTGAACTAATCCCTAGAATGAGAAAAGAGAACAGCAGCATAGCAAATTTCTCAATGGGCAAAGGAAGAAACACAGTTGGAGGAACAGAGGGAAACTTAGCGTCCAACTTGGTCATCTCTCCTATGACAGACAAGCCTGTGTTGTTAAGCCCATCTCTGAAGATGAAGACTCTCAAGGTCCTTTCTTTTACTAAAAACTCTCATTAGTATCTAGATGCCATGAAACATAAATAGTACTGCTTTTTCCTTATTATCCTAGATCTCTTCATGAATGGATATGCTTGACATGTTGAGAAGCTTTTAATTCATCATTCTGATTTCTTACTTGAGGACAATTTTGGTGCAATTACAGCATCCTAATGAATCAAGAAGCTGGTTGTTTTTCCTACTACTATGAAGACAAGTAGCTTTTAGGACAAAATAATTAGGAAGAGTTACTACATTTTATGTCACGGTTCAATCTGATGGGATAAGCTTGAGCCCAATTTTAATACCCAGACCCATATAAACTGATTTGAGTTTTCAGTCACTCTCATTGTGTTACTAAACTGATACAAGGATTAAAATTTCTCCCACTTAAAAAGATGACATCTTTGTTGAAACCAAAACATAGTCCAAAATTAAACTATACCATGGTGCACGTGAGACCCATGCTTAGTGGTGGCTTTGGCTCCACATCATGATGTGCCGCTAGTGTCATACATAGGTAGTCATTTTTTATTTGAACCACTCACAATGTACAATACTAGATCAGCTTTGATAGCAATGGAATGAACCATTGACTCAAAATACTGATGATAGTGTACTAATCAAATCCTTATAAGCTGGTTCAAGTTTTTTTAGTAACATAGACATTTAATGGCATACTACCATAAAAATTGGATTAAAGTTCCAATTTAGTAAATAAAATTTCTAATTTCTAGGATAATCTTGTGTATCTCCTACATATAAATATGTGATTAAGCCTTATGACTGAGATCTTTTTCTTTTTGTTCTAATGAAGCATTTTATGATGAATAATGGCGTGAACTAACTCATAAAGCCCAACACTTCAAACAAACATTGCCCCATATATTTATGAATTGTTTTTGTGACCAATGGATGACCTTCTGGAAGATCTTTCATGAATTCAACCTATCTTCCATTCGCATTTTCTTAATCTTTCCTTATTCGACCAGATCTTTCAAAAAAGAACCTGCTATTGTACCTTAGTTATTCTAAGTCTTGCATTTATAATGCATTTTTACAGATGAAACAATTTAGCCTTAAGTTTTGCTGTTGTTAAATTCTAACTTCAGTTTTTATTATTTGTGTTTTGCATATTTATATTTTTATCATTCAAATAGACACATGCTAAATATCTGAACTGGTGTCAAGCATGGGCAGTTGATGTTTCTTAAGCAAAACAATCAGTTTAATTATTATCTAAAGGCACTGTGAAGGCATGTTTTCTTTTTTTGTTTAATTTTCAAAATTAGAGCATTTTTATATTTCTTTTTAGTATTATGTTTCTCTAAATGATTGCACAGACATGATTTTTTCCTAGTTTCCCTTATCTTTACGTTGGTCTTATGTCAATAGCCTTCCCTAGTATGTGACTATCATGTGACCTCATTTTAGAAGCAGGCTATTTAAGAGATGATAATACATGCCATATTTCTGTCATATTTGGGGATCACGTGTTGTACTATTGTTCTCTTGAAACAATGATATGTTCTTTAAAGAAGATACTGTATTTGAAATTTTCTACTCATTTTCCCCCAATTTTGTAGTTGTAATATAGAACTTCCATCTTCCTTCAGGAGCCATTGACAGATCCAAAGGCCTTCAATACATCTAAACAAATTGGCTCTTCACCTGAAAGGTTTGTTGATGGCATTCTGTCTATTTGAATTATTGTCATCACCGAGTGTTTAATTTATGATAGCTGTCCTGATATGCAGGATATCATTAGTAATCTCCCCAGGATCTGACACTGAAATGGTACATATTAGGTTTTGCGAAGGGCTATCTTTTAGGATCCCATTTATCATACTTCTTTTTAGTTGAAAATATTTTTGGTGTATTTTATCATATAGTCATGTCTATTTTCCCAATTCTGATGCTTAGGTACAAAGGGAAGAAAATCCAGAAAGTTCTAGAAATGATGCTTCTTTTCAGAATCTATGTTCTCTAAATGGTGCTTCTGAGCTAGAAAACATGGACATTGAAGTGCCTGTACAAATAGAAGACCATGGAAATGTAGAGAAAGCTGAATCTTGTTCAAAGGAGCTAGATGATGTAAGTAACATTATTCCCTTGATGTTTGCTGAATGATTTCATATGAGTTATTATTAAATTGGTCATATGTGCTTATTAGTTCATCAGTATGCAACGTTAGTTGGTTTTGCCTTTTTCCTATTTCATTGTCGATAATTGAAAACTGCAAACTTGTTTGACGCATGGCCTAATGTCTCATATTTTCTGTGGTAATATTGTTTGTGTGTTCATTTGTTCATTTATTATTTATTGCAATCTTATAGCGTTATCAATATTCATTCTTGGCTAGATGTTATGGTTACAAAATCCAATGTTTAGTATTTGCAAACAACTTGAGGAGCATTTTAGTACCTGTAAAAAGAGTTCTGAAGCTTAAACTCTAAGGTCTTCAAAATAAAACGGAGGACCCAATATTAAAACGAAAAAAGAGGAAAAAGGTTAATGTTTCAAATAGATGTTTCTAGTTCTAAGTTGGATTAAGACAAGGAAAACATGTGTGGAAGTATCAATAAACATTCTTAAAGATTGTTTTTTTTTTTCCCACAGGAAAATTGATTGGTTACTTCAAGGGATTTGGTAAGAAAATGAAAATTATCTGGCAAATAAATATTGAATGCCAATTTTCGTGTTGATCTTTTTTATGGAAGAAGGCCTACGTCAGTCAATGGCATGGGAAACATGTGATGGCCTCGTTAGTCTTACAAGTGTGTGGCAGGTAGGTTAGTTTATAAGACTTTGGGGCGTATAATAGTAGCTTATGCATTTAGAGGCACATGGTTTATAAGAAGCTCATTATATACAAGATATTGGACCATATCTATAGCATTCGAGCTATGCTGAAAAATGATACTATGCAGTGAATTGTTTTACGTTTTTCACATCATATTTGTTAGAGTCAAAAATCTTTAAATGAGTTAATAGGACCTCATATTTATTGGCCAAGAAACCAAAGTATCCAGGCAACAACATATTGACACTTCTAATCTATTAGTTGCCTGAGTGTTGCAGTGTCTTTTTTTTTTAGTAAAGGGTAAGTGATAAAGGTGGGATTCAAATCCAAATGCTTGTGATAAACTACCAAAGTCTTTACCAACTAGATTAGCTAACACCTTTGTTACAGTGTCTTATTATTATATAATAAATTAAAAAATAAAATATTATTCGCTCAAATAAAGAAAGATTGAAAACATATAACGACCTGTGTTACATATTTGGATTGGAAGGGATAAAGTAGATATCTTGGTAAATTTAAATTAATGATAAAATTTATAGGAAAGAATAGTTATAGAAATTGCAATCAAAGTCATGATGAGACTCGGACACTATGTTGTGAGCCACTATTGAGAGAATTGGTAAAACATAGTATGCAAAACAACTATCATGAAGGACCTGGGTAGAAGCATTGAGGATCTGAAGAAGCCTTGCATTGTAAACCTTCCGGTGAGGTCCGGGAAGATTTTATATTGTTTGTTTCCTTATGTATTTATGCAATTGTCAAAGATCAGTTGAATTGATGAAATACTACTCATCATCCTTAGGATTCTTTTCTAAATAAGAAAGGGCAGATCAAGGCTCCCTCTATTAGAGGCTCTTTTCATGACTTGGAGCTCAAGTCCCCCAGGTTAAGAAATGAGCAATGGTCCTCTTGTATTCTCTTTCTAAATAACTTCAATCCAATTTTTATTACAGAAGTTATTTAGAAATTGGATTAGTACTATATTTAATTATTTAGAAGTTGAAGTTATTTAGAAATAACAGCAATTTATATTACAGAATTCTATATCTGAAAATAATTTAGGATCATATAAGCCACGATTTCTTTACTTAGTTATTTAGAAATAACAGCAATTAATAATTTAGCTAGTTGGACCCTGCAATTAAAATGTTTTCTGATGAGATAAATTAACTCTGAATCTCCAACATCATGTCAATCATTGAGGTTCATTCTGATGAACTAAAGTGAGATAAGCATTTGGACAGTGAGTACGTTGCCGGAAGTTGAAGCAAAAGATAGTTGTATGCGAAAAATGCGTATGTCATTAATCCCCAAGATATAATTGCTCATTGGATGGTCATTGCAGCTATGCAACATGCTCAAAAAGAAACATGACGAAGCGAAGGAGTTAATGGTTCGTGCTGTCGTCATCAACAACAAACTGCTGATGCTGAACCATCCCATGATCGAGGAGAAGATATCCTTCTGTCTCTATGATCTCTTCTTTCTCGTTCCCAGGTACGCCTCTATGTTTATCTGGACTCTTTTCCTTGACCGTCAAAACATTCGTGCGCTCCAGAGGCTTGCTGCCAGTTTACAGTCCAAAGATTACTGGAAAACATGATATCCTATCATCGACAAGCAAACCATCACTAGTCTCTATAAATATCACTTTCAACGTCTTCATTTCCGGTACTTGGTCCGGATGAAGTTGCATTTTTTCATAACCCTAGGTAAAGATCAATTTGTAATGGCACTCGGACACTTACCCTAGGAAAAGCAAATTGTTCATGGTTTGGATTTGATGTCCTATCGTGATTGATCTGTCGCTGGCATTTACATCATTGCGGAAAACGTACAAGATTTTTTCTTTTTTGGACCAAATTTTATTTTTGTCGTATACTATGCTCGTAAACTAGCGAATCAGATATCCAGCCAGCTGGTTGCCTGGTTAGTTGGTTTGGTGTGAGTCATCTTCGCGAAGTAGTCCGTTAATTTTTTTTTACTTTTTCCATGCACTAAGACTCATGTTGATGGAAGACCAGAATTAATGAAGCTGATAAATTATCATCAGCCCCTTAGTACGATGTCTTTGTTCCATCCTCATCCATAACCACAACCGACACCAACTATTTAATACAGCCAAATTATCAATGACATATCAACATCCCCAAGTAAAAAAGTTTGGTCCAACAGAAATAGGTCCGCAACACACAACCCGTTGACTAAACCGTGAAATAGCTGTTCAGTTAAGGAACTTGCAATTAAGCGCTGCTCCTCACTCAAAGGCCCATTGGTTTTCTCTCCGGATCTCTTCCTCCTCTTCAGGTGTGAAGTCATTCTTGATATTGAAGGTCTTGCGAATCTCCTCTGGAGTTTTGCCCTTTATCATGTCAGCCACAGTTTGGCAAGTCAAGTCTAGCAAAGATTTGATGTTGAGATAGTTTGCAGCCTGTAGATTCCAGAACAGAAATATAATCAGCCATGTCAGTATGCAAAACCTGAAAACTTAAGCCGCAAAAAGGTGTCATGGCATCTATATCTGACAAAAGACTGACAAACAACAAAGGCAAAAATAACAGTGTGGTGTGAACTCAATGATTTTCACTAACTACAGCTCAAAGGTTGACCATGATTTTTTTATATGAAAAATTCTACCACCACATCCAATGACATACATTCATCGACATACAATCAAGCAGTCATTTATGAAACAATCATGATCCTCTGAACTTATGGCTTGCTATTGAACATAGAGAGTGCTCCCACATCATTGCCAGCTACAAGAAATCACCTTCTGCCACTCCCACATCATTTGGTACATTGTGCCACAATTTTCAACCATTCATCTCTATTTTAGATATTTGAATACTAGATCTCAGAGAAACTAAATTAGTTAGCAGGTGAATCATAACATCCATGTGATAACAGGTGCAATTATAACTGGGTGGCTCACCACCTCGAGAAACCCACAACATGAAGTGAAGATGAATTGGTCTTCCCCTAGCAATCCACCCAAAGAAAAGTGACAATCTAGAATTCGCTTATATGATGGACTGCTCAGAATTGATATATCTTCAGGTTTCAGTGATGACATTCGGATTTGGAAGTACCACCAAATCTGCAGCTCTATTCTTGCAATCTCTACACTTTCATTCTTTAGAGAAGTGGGATGCACAACATTGTTTGTGGAAATTTCCAATCATGCCCAGTATAAAGCTATTCTGCTGGTAGCTTCTGCATCACTGCTCCCAAACTCTAATAGGTCAGTACATCATTGTATGTGTGTTTCTAATGTCCGTTCTTTCTGTATCAACTGTAGTGAGTCCACTGACCATATCTTCTGATATTTCTTCGGTATCAACAGTTGGCAACTTTGAGAGTATAGGCTAGGTATCAAATTTAAATTTCTTGCTAACTAGAAGGATTGGGGCCTGGCTCATAGAACGAGATGGTGAGTCGCTTTTTATGTATGCTGCTTGGAAGGCTGTTATTGATACATCTTTCGGATGCTATGAAAGCCCGAAACAAAGGTTTATTCAAAGGCTCCTGTTGTTCTCCTGGTATTGGCAAAGTTGCTCTCCTACAGGCTATGTTGATAAACCCTTCCTCTGAGGGACCCCCTGAGAAAGACATTTCAATGTGAAATGAGAGAGACAATACTAGGCTAGTACAAACTAAATTGTGATGGAATGTCGGATCTTGTAACTGATGGAGGTATAGGTTTTGTACTGCAAGGGACTAATGGAAACTGTATTTGTATGTGGCAATTACCTAAAAAAGAGGGATAGCTTCTACTTTGATGTGGCTGCTGTTCTTGAAGACTTGAAACTGGCACTTGAGGAGCAGGTGCCAATGTTTCAAGTAGATTCTAATTCTACAAATACGATTGAATTACTGACCAGAAGAAACTATTCTCTTTGGAGGATCAAGAATGTCATTTGGAATATTTGTCTCCTGGACAAGTTCAAAGACTGTAATATGTCCCATGTATTCTGAGAAGAAAGCGGATCTGCCAATTTTGCTGTTTGAGTAAAAAAGAAAATGAAGACCTGCCTCCAAAAGACTACCGCTTCTGGTTCAATTTCATCATAAGGCTACCAATGACCAGTGCATAAATTTGTGAGGTATGTGAAGACTCAATTCGGATGCCCTAAGAACACACTTAAAATAAACCCATTCCATCTGGGGAGAATTAAATCAAAATCATAAAAAAAGAAACTGGGCTACTCAATCAAAGCCTGAAACAGTTTTTTTTTTTAATGCCAGCCAAGTCAATAGAGTTCCTTTTTCCCTTTTAATTATTCCCAACTTGTACCCTTTTTTAGTTGATACCAAGTCCTCAACTCTTGTCAATAACACTCCCTTCCCAAATTAACAGATCCCTTTCCTAATCTATCTTTCTAAATTTTCCATGATTAACTTTCCTCATCCTTTATCGACTGGTTTGATTTACCATGACACACCTCATGAGTCTAATGATGGCCTGATACATAAGTCGTAGCATGGGAACTTTCTGGCTGCCACACACCAACAACAACATGATATATAAACACACTCAAACATGCCAACATTCTCTGTCCTGAAACCATATAACATGCTGACCAGAAAGGATCATTATGGAGCCTACCAACATATTAGGCAATGAATTCCTTTGCCAAATCACCCTATTTCATCTCCTAAGTTAGCATCTATTTAGTGCTCTGACCAGGTCTCCCCATCTAATGCTCTAACCCTTTTAAATATTTACAACTTGATACTATCACATCTCTTTCACCAGCTGATCTATCATAAAACATGAGTAATGGAAGAATACTCTTAACTTTGCCTTGACCTTGCATCAAGATAAAAAATCATAATACAGAGATTTTCACCACAGCATATTGAATTCAAATTTATTATATTTATATTTTCCTGTTTCATTTATGCAATAATAGCGTCAAGGATAACAGATAAATGCAGAAGTAAAAAAAGAAAGGAGAAGCACAAATCAAGATTATAGAAAAATAAATATTGGAGAAAAAGATAATAATAACAACAAATTGACAAAGACAGGTGAACACAAGAACCACAAATCAGATCAACATAGGAATTCCATTCACTAGGAATCAGTGGTCAAAAGCAATATACTGTGTAGTGTGTACAAAAAGCCATATACTGATATCATATATATTTTTGTTCAAATTTTTCAAAGTCAAAAGATGAATAATCTTCTATAAGTCATTGGATATATATCAACAGATCCAGTTATAACAAATTATTTGAGGATTCAATCACATATAACAGCTCTTGTCCAATTCCAGTAGATAGCTCGAGTGGAGAATCTTGAGGAAGAGAACGAAGCATAAAGAATTAATGCAATAAAAAACCATTCACGCATGACCCAATTCACAGACCTTTTTTGGTCCAAGAACTGAAGTATACACCATCCCAGTGATTTAAAAAGCACTAGGCGCCAAGATCCAAAAACGCCCGAGGCGCTAGGCGCTCGCCCAGACGCTCGCCCGAGCGAAGCGAGACGCTAAAATATAAAAATATATAATATAATTAATAAATATAATTATTTAAAATTTTAAATAAAAATATGCTATTAAATTTAAAAAAATCTAAGATATAAAATTAACAGTATTAAGAAACCTAGCAATATTTTCAAATAAATGAAAATTAATAGTATTAAAATCAAAATAATATATTATTAATCTATTAACAGTATTAAAAATTAATTATTTTAAATAAACTTAATAATATTAACAGTATACAATATACGTATACTGTTAAAAGGAAGTATAAAGGGGTGCTGAGCTTGCTGACTGAGAAAAGAGGAAACGGCAGCGGCGAGCAGTGAGAGGCGCGAGCGGCGACAGCGGCGAGCAGCGGGAGCGGGAGCAGGAGCAGGAGCGGCGAGCAGCGGGAGGCGTGAGCGGCAGCGTTTGCGAGCAACGACAGCGGCAGAATTTGCGAGCAGGGACAGCGGCGAGCAGCGGGATCGGGAGCGGTAGCGGCGAGGGTTAGGGTTGGGTTGTCACTTACATCGGTTTTAGTTGGTTCGATTGAACCAACTAACCATCGGAGACCGAACCAGGACCGAACCAAACCTAAAATCCTAGTTCGGTCGCCTTGGTTAACCCAGGCGCTCGCCCGAAGCGCCAAGCGCCTGGGCTCGGGCGAGCGCCCAGGCGACGCCTGTTTGAAGCGCGCCGCCTGGTAGATTAGTGAGGCGCTCGGGCCTCGCCTCGCCCGAGCGCCTAGGCGAGCGCCTTTTTAAATCGCTGCACCATCCAAACCACAAAGAATCACGATCCATGTTTATGCTTGAAGACAAGAACAAAAGGAAAAACATGTGGTTCACGTGGACGCTGCCCTTTTGGAACCGGAGATGGAGGACAGGAAAAGGAAGAAGAAAAATGAAAACAATGGATAGGTGACAGGAGGAAAGGGGAGCATACCTGATTGCATATTCATGCAGCACCGCAACTCAAGTTCACCGTGTGTGTATGTGTGTGTGTGTGTGTGTGTGAGAGAGAGAGAGAGAGAGAAGGGGGATTTACATCAAGTGCCCAGCTTACAGGATTTCAACTTTATGACATGAAATTTTAAAAGAATAAAGGAAAAGGGGGGGAAATGAGAGGAAATTTCAGCAAGGATTTTTTTTCTTGAATTATTTTGAAATTTATTTTTGATATTGATACAGGAATAGCAATACACAAAGTCATTCAATATACATAAATATACACAAAGAATGATCCATCCAACCACAACCTGTAGCTGCGTTGAGAAAAGTCAGACCTTAAAAATCAAATGGGATCTAGAGTTGAAATATTTGGTTTAGGCTTAGCTTTTCGTCCATATATTATATCGTCAAATTTTCTAGGTGTTTTTGGTGTTCTTTTAAAGGTTCAAAAATTGTCGAGATTTGAATCTTTTTTTTTAAACTCAGTTATATATTCATCTTAATTTGAAAGAACTGAATCAAGACTATGGATATCTAATAAAGCAAGTGGCTACAATATACATTCAGTATCTATTTTCAACTATCCTATTCTATCTAAGTACCTAAAACGCTCAAGATCCTTATCGAATCTGATTTAGTAGAGATCCGATGCTGGCAGTTGGTTTCCTTCATGTAGTCCCATAAGTCAACTAATGGCCCAATCATACATATATCCGATGAGGCCAGAAATGCATTACTCCAGAAGCACTACATGTTATTTCGAAGTCCAAATAGATCTTGTGCAAATGGAGATCGGAGCCAATGCTATCGGTGTAGAACTCACGTAGTTGCTACTTCACCGTGGCAGAAATTACGGATTCAAGTTGTCGACAGGAATTGTATGTGGAAAATTGGGTTGGCTGCCCAAAGCGGCGATCAGCTGCCAAAATTATAGGCTTGTTTATGTCGAGATATGGGGATCAGCATACACCCTCAGGAGTCTAAGGTAAAAATCAAACCTCTCGTTTGCTTAACTACTTTGAGCCCCGATCTGAAATACCACAGAGAGCAACACATCCTGGATTCTCATGGATCAATCATCACACTAGCAGCTAATTACCCAACATCGATGTAGGCAGCAAGTCGACACAGAGTAGTCATTAACCCTACCCTACTCCTGGTAAAAATCCGTTGAGATCAAAGATTTAGGGCTTCATCAAATGATCCATATGGCTCAAAATCAGGCAGCACAAGTAACAAGGAGCACACTCTAATGCAGAATCCATAAGGATAACGTGTCGAACTTGGAAAAATCGGCATAGATAATCGCAACTGAGGTGCAGACTCAAAAATTGAAAGGGCAAAGGGAGAGGATCAAACCAGAATGAGATCGAAGAGGGTGGCCTGGTCGACCTTGACGAACTCGGCGTCCCAGGCCTTGAGGTCGTCGTCCGCGACTCTTCCGGTGGCGCCGTCCTCGCCGGACTTGGAGGAGGCGTCGACGTGCTTGTTGCAGTACTCGATGACCTTCGCGAGGATCCTGGAAGTGACGTTGGGAAGGGGGATACCGCTCTCGGCGCAGCCGTCCTCGATCATGTGGCGGATGGTCTGCGACTCCATGGCCGCCGCCTCCGCCACCTCGAACTCCTCCCCGTCCGAGCTCTTCAGCGTCACCTTCCTCTTCTCCCCGTCCGCCGCTACAGCCGACGCCATCGGATCGGATCGCTCGCTGCGCTGGAGATCTCCGCTGACTTCGCCCCGGAGAGTCGCAAGTCTCCGCTGCTACCGATTTCCGTCAACTCTCAAAGAAAGGCGTCGATGATGAAACCCACCAAAAGAAAAGTCCACGTGGGAACTCGAAAATGTTTGGAATCCTCTAGACAACTTCCTGGGCCCCACAGATCATTTAATCAAATATTATTATTCTAATCGAAGAGATAAATCTGTAATTTGGTCGCCAAATCGGTTCAACGAAATTGATGTGACAACGTGACATATTTTTGGAGTATTATTATCGCGTGAGTAATATCATTGAGCATTCAAAATATGAATTTTAAGGAAAATTTTTACTTCGATTAAAAACGAAAGGTACTACTTGGATCTCATTTTCCTATAAAAGATTATGTACAGATTTGTCTAATAATTTAACTTGACAAAATTGACCTAACCTAATTTAATTTTCATGTTGTCTGGAGAAAGATTATCAAAGTATTCAAAAATTAAAAGTAAAAAAAATTTAAAGATTAAAAAATATTTATTTATTACCCGTGTCTCTTGTCGATTAAACTTAAAAGACTCGGATCTGTACAACAAAAGCACTTTGTGATCAAATTATTCAAGTCCTTAAGTTTTATATGGCGAAACCTTTGTATCAATTCATACCCTTTAGATGTTACATTAATAAAACATATTTAGTAGATTTTTTTATCATATCTCATAATGATATGATCTGTCCGAAAATAATAGGTTGACAGAGATTTTAATAAGCATGTCTCGATCTTATTGTGTTAATCGTAGATTGCATCTTAAACCATGATTTCAATGATAATAATTCGAAACATAAAAAAGTTCGATCATGGAGTAATTACAAGAATATCTTGCTTGCGATCGGTTCTTCCTTCTATAAACTATAAAAAATTATGCTCCTTAGACTACATTTTTCTTTCTCATTATTCGACCGAGACGAGATGATGGACAGCAATTTTACAAAAGCACTGCAATGAACCTCCAAAATATTGCGACAATAATAACACACAAATCAAGATTTCAAATATCAGTTGAACTCCTCACAATATATTTTGGATAATATCTCAAAATCGATATCAGAGTGCGATTTTAAACATTGTAATCGATCATACAGCTCGAATGCGAGATGAAGAAACTGCAGCAGTGGAACGAACTTCTTTGCAAAGTTGGTGCCACCATAACTGCAACAACATCAACTACAGCGACGAGAACTTTGGAAATGATTACAAAGACCAGCTTGATTGACATATGAATGCAGGAGTTCTAGTTCCCCCTTCAATCACATATACTAGGCCAGGTTGCAACACAAAATTTCCACCAAGACAGAACATGAGAAACCCTTCCATATGAAGGGTCAACTGCTCATTACTCGTTCCTCTCAGTTTCACACCCCATCCTAGCTCACCAGAAGGGGTATTAGATAAAGACAAACCCAACTTCGGTGAACCTGGGCTAGATTTCTGCAACTCCAACCAAAATCCTAATTTGCTACTACCGTCGACCTCCGAATCCAACATTATAGCGATCGACCCAGCAGCAGAGTTAGCTAAGTCGCCGTCTGCTGGTTCTGTCACGGCAATAGCATGAGATGCTTCGGCTCCTGTATGTTGTTTCAAATTGCTCAGTGGTATAGTAAGCGTACCAAGTTTGATAAACCCAGATGCAGGTTTTTGCCAGGCACCAGAGAGATTTACTTTTACTCGTTCAAAAAGTTGGTAAGAAACTTGCCCAAATGTGGTCAAGCAACTGCTCTGCCCAGTGCCATCACGTTGCATTCCGATCCCAGAAACCAACTCGGCTAAAGAACCTGCTATCTTTGTTCCTTTAAGCACTATGCCAGCAGCACAACCATGATTCTGGTTAAACAAAGGCGGCCCAGATGGAATGAACCCATTAAGACACTGCTCCTGTGTGAAAATAAAACTCATGTATGTTAGCACTGATATATGTGAACTCTTTTAGATCAATCTAAACATTTCAGGAGGTGTTGTTACCTGCATACTACTAGGACTGATGGTAAAGTCGTTGCATTCGACGCCTAAGGCTATCGTGGCTGAAGAAAGTTTATTGATGTGTGCCGAGTACATCAATCTTTCTAGTGATAGAGGATGCTCTCGGCTGGTCACAAACTCTGCGACAAGATCATTTTTCTGCCCGACAACCTTCTCAAACATGAATCTTGAATGGATGCCCGTCTTGATTCCTGCTCCATGTAGAACACCACAGGACTGCCGGAAATCATTTTTTCCAAACAACAAAAATCCAACCACATTGATTATTCCCTTCATCTGTATACTGACTTCGTGGAATGGCCTTTTTTTGCCAAGTTTAAAGGCAAGCAAGTGTTCAACTTTATCCTGCCTCTCCATTAGCTTCACTAATTCAGAATGTGCTTCTTGTCGTAAACTTTTCACTATTTCAACCTACAAAAGTAAACAAAATTAAACATAATAACAGCTGTCAGACTGAGGAGTTTTAAATACATCCAAAGTGATGAATATCTAGACAAATAGCAAAAGTTAGAATATGCCAAAGACAATTAATTAGCACAGATGAGTAGACCCAATAAACCCTTTTAACTTCTGAAATCTACAAGAAAAAAGATGTAAGACCTTTATGTGTATTAATTCAAGAAATCACTGACTTTCCTGCTTCACAGTTACAGAGATGCTCCAATGTGTAATTTCTTAGAGCTACTACTAAATAAATAAAAATAAAAATAAAATCTTCATGTATCAAGTAGATATATTAACTCACTCAAATAGAAAAAAGGGATCTGACTATAATGTCATTTGGTCTCTCTTTTTCAAACAATTAATATGGTAGATCCTTCTCACAAATGCCTGATCACCTCGGAACTAATGGATGCTTGCAACAGTTAGACCTGGCAATTTCTCCTACAATGAACGGGCAGTAGATTTATCTACACATGAAGAATCAAAAAATGAGAACAAAAGAGGAATGAAAAATGACTTCAGAAGACGATAAAAGAAAAGGGCATTTCCAACATTATTCGCTCAAGGGCAGGCCCGGTGCTTGATACACTGCAAGGACCGAAGAGAGTAACCCTACCTTACAAGCAAAACAGCTCAAGATCGCAATGATACAACTGTACCAATGCGCCGCAAGATCGATCGACATAAAGCTACCAGATTAGCACAACTAAGCTTCCACAAATTCGACAACAATACCATGCATCGATCCAAAGAACGGGATTATTTGTTTGATGCGATGACAGGAAACCAACCAAAACCGAAGGAGAAGCAGTAAATTACAGGATTTTGCCTGAGCGAATTCGAGCGCGTGGTGAAAGCCGCCTTCCCGAACCGTTTGATCTTGTCTGCGACGAAAGACAAGGGTTCCATTTCGGCACCAACAAGCGGATCGAAACGGACAAAAGAGGAGGGCAAGTGTTTGTTCCTTTGTTTCCGCCTCAGAGGCAAAATGGCGGCATGTAGTGTGTTTGGGGTTGAAGCCCGTTCATCGTCTTTGCCTCCTTTATTCTTTGGTTTCTTTGGCCTTTAATTCGTCTTTTCTTTTCTTTTCTTTTCTTTTCTTTTCTTTTCTTTTCTTTTCTTTTCTTTTATTTTTCTTTTATCTTTATTCTGCCGAATTTTGACAGCCTTGCTGCCAATGAACTCGGGGCAGTGTTCCTTTTCCATGTCTTGGACTTTGTGAACATTATTTGTCCCAATCCCCAAACTTCTTGTTCATTCATGAAAGAATGTGAAGAAAGAAAAAAAAAAAAGGTGTGAGTGGATTTTTTTATTTTATTTTAACCATTCTAATTTGAACATGGGGTGATTCTTATAAAAAGTCTCCTTTTTTTTTTTTTTTAGACATCTCCTATTTTTATTTTTCATAGTCGATGTCAATTTCTTTTAAATTTCATAAATATCTCTCATCGTCTTTTTCACATCGGTCGTTGGGTCCTCCCCATATATCGTAGTCGTCAATCTTGACGCTTTCACCTGACTTTCAGGTAATCTGAGAGGTAAAAGTGATAGAAGAGAGGAAGAAGTAAGGGAGCACGTAGGGCAATGTAGGCATAATAGACATCACACACAAGATTAGTAACACCAGGCCCACATGAGTTGTGTAGAGGGTGTCATGGGCGACCTAAGGGTGGTGTAGGAGGCAATTGAGGTAGAGGGTATACCAGTTCAAGAAATCGGGATAAAAAGGGATGGCAAGAGTTTAGAGGGTACGAAGGTTGGGGGGAATGGAGAGGGAGAGTGTAATCACCAATCATTTTCTCTCTTAACATAAATTAAT